CAGGTCCTGGACATGGGACGGCGGCTCAACCAGGTGAGCTATTGCAGGGCCAGCCAGGAGTCTCCAGCTGATGAGACGGTTCAAAGCTCCTCCTCAGGATTGCAGCTCTGCAGGCTGACGGCTGTAAGATGCTGTTTCCTCCACTAGATGTCAGCGTTGTTCTGCTTTTCAGACAAACTGAGCTCAGTCGCAGCTTCACCTTTGATTGGTTCCATCTTGTTTTCCTCCTCTAACCTCCATCCTCGTCTCTCTCCACCTCCCTCCATCCTCCATCCTCCTTCCTTCTTCCTTCACTTCTGGGTGGATGCAGATCTGCAGAACCAGCAGGAGAACACATGAACAGACGAGGCTGTAAAGCCTCTGTGGGTCGACCCAGCGGTCCTGGTCCTACGTCAGCAGCTCTCGGATCCTTGTGTTGCCAAACTGGACTCATCCACTGATGTTCTGGACGAACAGAACCCGGCTGTGTTTTTACAGTCATTTGTTACGGTGATGGCAGAAGGAGCAGAACCGGACTCTGACTCCTCATCGACCTCCGGTGACCTTCCAGCAGAACAACCTGAAGCCAACCTGGAGGCTCAAACATGTCCGACTTCCCGCCTCATGTCGACCCGATGATCCAGACCACAGAGAGCTTTCTGTGTCAAACATTCTGTTATTTACTATAAAAATCTCCAGATGCAAACACAAGCTGATGCGGCGCTGCCCCCTGGTGGCCGCTACTGGTGCTACAGCTCAGAGCTCAGAGCAAAAGAAAAGAATGTTTGTTTTGGTAAAACCCCACAATCATCTTACAACAATTTAATGTATTCACTAAAACAAATAATAGAAAGAATCGAAGCAAAAGCTGAACATAAAGTCCTCATAAAACATCTGTATGTTAGAAACAGTTTGTTTTCCACCGTGTGACGGTGAAAAGACAGTTTATTGGTTTTAAATCAGCTAAAACGATCCACATCACAGCGACGTGTGAAAACATCTACAATGATTCACTGTAAAAGATAAAAACCTGAACTGTTGTTTCTCATCATGACACCAGATCCTCCTGCAGATGTTGGAGTTTGTACAGAAGCTTTGATGAACTCCAACATGAACCACGTTTCTCTAAACTTCTTTTCTTCAGGGATTTATTTCTGCCTCCAATCACGTTCATCAGACTGAAGCTTCACGTCGTCCTTTCAGCCTGGTTGGCGTCCCGGTGAGGACACCCGGGATCTTCCTGCGTGGAGTCTCCATGTTCTCCCCGTGCAGCGTGGGTTCTCTCCGGGTTCTCCGGCTTCCTCCCACAGTCCAGAAACATGCTGAGGTTAATTGGTGATTGTAAATTGTCCGTAGGTGTGAATGTGAGTGTGCTTGGTTGTCTGTCTCTAAGTGTAGCCCTGTGATAGACTGGTTACCTGTCCAGGTGAACCTGCCTTCACCCTGAGTCAGCTGGGATAGACTCCGCCCCCCATGACCCTGGTGAGGATGAAGGTGTTGGATGGATGTTTGATGTAACAGCTCCTCCGGCCATCGTCTTGCTGCCTCCTTCCTCATGTGACTGTTTCAGCACAGCCAGCTTCAGTTAGGAGGTTTCAAACCCTCCGTTCTGATGAAAACTCTTCTCCTCCGTCTCTCCTGCAGCAGATGAGTCCAGCTGGGTGCATTTTAAACCTCCTTCATCTGAGGCGGTGATAAAACTTTCAGGCCTGGTGATGAATCCTCCTTCTCGTTCCTTCTCTTTGAAATGCTGATCAGCAGCGTTTCTGCTCTCAAACAGTGATAAAAAACACACGCTGGCCTTTGAAACTCTGAGACGAAGCCTCTCATTCTTACATTTTTCCAACAACCAGCGAGTCCGGGTGTTTAATAAGTCAGCGCCGGTTCTTTATCTCCTCATTGTCTCCTCAGACGAACCCAGAACCGAACCAGCTGAGGGAGAAGAGATCTGGATGCTTTTTAATCCTGCATATCTGCTCCTCGTCCTGATAATATGAAATTAAACCACATTAAGGCCCATTGAAGGAAGCCGCCGTCCTCTGGGTTCCTGATAACGCTTGTAGCAGCAGGACTCTGCGTTTCTGAACACAATGAACGACCAGCTTCATTATTTCTGCTCCTGATGTCTGTGCAGCACGCCGAGGCTTCAAAGGAGGTTTTATTGTTGTTTCCAAACGTCGGCGTCGATGCAGCAGCTCAGGTTTGGAACCAGAGAAAGACGAAGAATCGGACAAACGGATCTGCTGAAAAAACAGTGAACGGGCTGGAGCGGGACGCAGCAGAGTCCGAGACGGGTCGGCAAACATCTGGAGAACAACTTCAGCTGGAGTTTTGTTTATAGACGCGTTTAAAGAAATGAGAGTGAAGCTCCAGCTTTAATGTGAACGTATTCTTTATTTACTTCTGAGGTTGGACTGATGTTGTAGCGACGCTCTGAGAAACAACCACAGAACTCATGTTAAAGGTTCTGGTGGATGTTAAAGCAGCTGAAGAACCGTCGCCTGTCCACGGGTTTGGATCAAACAGCTTCATCTTCCCTCAGTCACCGGGTTCTGCTGGGTTCCGCCTGGTTCTGCTTTCCGGGTCGACTGAGACGACGCCTCATATCTGATTGAAGAGGCTCATGTCGGTCCTGCATGTAGAGTTTTAAAATGCTGAGACCCAAAAGCTGCTGGCAGCTCTGAAGAACCTTAAATTGAAAAGTTACCTTAAATTAAATTAAATTAAATTAAAATGAATTAAATTAAATTATTAAACCTTATTTCAGAGCCAGAAAGCTTTTAAAACGGCTTCCATCAGTAAATCTTTGAACAATTTATTGTGTTTTTACATTAAACGACAGAACATGGAGGGAAACCACAAACTAATGTAAAATATCTGAATTAAAAACAGCAAAACTTTTTAATTTCACAGTCAAACGTTGGTGAAGATCAGCTGAAGCCGGTTTTCTATGTGGTGAACATGTTTGTTGTGTTAAAGGTAAAAATGGGAAATCTGGAGTAAAACTAAACTAAATCCTGGATCATTTGTTTGACAAACTGCTGTCAGATGAGGCCACGTTTCACTGAATTAAACACCGTAAAACGTGTAATTTAATTTAATTTTACAGGCAAATGAAGAACAAATTAGTTTTTGTGTAAATGCAGTTTTAACGGGAACACGATTGTTTTGTCTTGACAGTTAACATAAATGTTTTTTCTTTTTGATTTCACCATTTATCTTCTTTAATTTAACAAATGAAACAAAACAAAGAAAAATCTGTAAAATAACAACAAAGTGTTTAAAAACGACGTCTAGGAAACGTTCATGTTTCTAACAACAGGAACCAGCGTTGGGAGCTCTCTCCAGTGTTTCATCATCG